AACACTTTTGTGACAGAATACTCTTTAGCTTGAGTGTTCTGCCTTTTTAAATCTATTCCTTGAGAGACTATAATCCATTTCCAGCTTATTTTTCAGCGGGTTTAAGAGCAACATTACGGCAGATTTTCAGGCTTACCTTTTCCACGCATCGTTTCCAGTGGCCGCGTCTGCCTTTGCAGCATCAGTTTCAGCTTTGCCAAAGCGAGGAAAGCCCCCGCCTGAGCAGCCACAAAACCGGCATCGTCATTTCAGCGCTCAGAACAAGACTGACCGCCACCGAAGCACGGAACCCGCCTGGAAGCGAAGCGGTGTCAGGCACGTGCGATAAAAACTACAGCATTTGGTATCTCCCCAGGTGATGAGCTACGCAGTGTCACGAGAACGTCTATTTTCAAAAACACGACAGGAATGTGCCACCAGAGTTAGAAAAGCAGAACATGAAGGAAAAGGTAATTAAGAAATATGTATTGCTATCTGCGGGCCTGACTCCTTACTTCTGTTGCTAATACTACAAAAATAATTTAAAAGTGAGGAGAACACAGCATCCTTTACCCTGTATTCTAAACCAGGATGTCTCGGTGATTATCCCGAAGTATAATGAATATAATTTTGTAGTTACAAACGGAATTTTTATACGGCCTTTTAAAGGCCAAGGTTTTACTGTAAGAAGCAAGACCCGGATGTGCACACTGAAAAATGTGTATGTTATGTTACAAAATTGCACTGGGTGCTTAGCATATTTACAGTACGATATCTAGGTCCACAAAACATTAAACTCTCAGCCATTGCAGAGATAAACTTTCTCCAAGAAAACAAAATTACTTTTCCAATCCAGCAGGTGAGAAACACAACTGAATAAATATTCACAACATCAACGGAGAAGCAGAGAGTGTGAATCGATCCTGGCCAAGGCTGGCACGTGCAGAACACCTATTTGCTAAGGCCATACTATGCACTTGAAAGGAACAGAGGTGTTTCAATGCCCAGACTGAGGCAGGCAGTCTCCCCGGACGTTTCCAGACTTCTCTCTGACACAACGGTGAAGTTACAGGATGCGAACATGGGCAGATCAGCATTACCTTGTATTTGAACTTAGAGCTGGGCTTTTAAACCAATAAAGGAAATCATGCCAGCTTCTGGCTGGAAGCGATCAGGACCGTCACCAGGGACACAGGGGGTGCAGAGAAGCATCCTTCAGCTGTTGCTCCCGGGCTCTCCCGTACAACGTGCTGGCAGCAGACACCTTCAGACATGCAGCAAGCAGTATTGACATGTTCGGTTTATATGAATTAACTTTTAGTTCCTTCAAGTGTGGCAACATATAGGATGAAACAAGGAACCTTGAAAGAATTAGGGCTAGGAAGGAGGTTGGCAATCGGAGATGAAGGAGGGGGTAATTGTGTTCCTCACGCCCTGTATTTACTGTCATTTCCAGCTGGTGCTAGAGCTCAGCCCAGAAGGCCTAGGGAACAGGAAGCCTGTGGTACAGCACAGAATCAAAACTAAAGCTCCCTGCTTAGGAACTTTGCCGCTAATTCCTTCCACGGGAACTTGGAGAGGGCGAGATCTGCTCCCCCAAGTCCACCCCACCCCACCCCCTGGCGCACTGAGACACGAGCAGGCTCTGCAGCTGGCTGCTGCTCGCTTCCCAGCCCTCCGCTCCGGAGCCGGCCGGGCTCACGCTAACCGTGCAGCAGCGCTCCGCAAAGCCGACGGGCGCTTAAAGCAGCTTCTCCGCTCCCCACGCCGGCACCAAGGCGAGCTCAGGCCAGAGCACTGCGACAGAAAGCAGAGAGCTGTTGGGCTTGCTGCCCAGCTCGGGACTTCCAGTTGTCTCAGACTTGCTTATAGAGACTATCCTGACAAGCACAAAACCCCTGAGCAAAACAAAACAAAACAAATCTATGCTTTGATATTACTACTAATTCAGTGTAGAAATACGAATAGCAAAAGCATTGACTGTGCAGTATTTATTTAACAGCTAACTGTGTTAAAAGGGCAAAACTGAAATAGATGGAGCTTTATCTTTACAGAATAAAAATCATCTAGATACCTTCTTACTTATGGAGGACCCGAAAACTACTGACTTTCTTACTTATGGAGGGCCCCAAAACTACCGACTTTCTTACTTATGGAGGGCCCCAAAACTACCGACTTTCTTACTTATGGAGGGCCCCAAAACTACTGAATTTCTTACTTATGGAGGACCCCAAAACTACTGGGAAAATCTAACCACGCCACATCTGCAGCAGGACATTTTAAAGGCAATTAAAAGGACTCTCAGGTTGCACAGAAACAGATGATACTTTCATTAGAATCCTATGGGTTGAACCTGAAAGCCAAAGAAACGCGGAGGAACTAAACGGCGCTGCGCAAACGCACGCAATACTCGTGAACAGAACATGCATGTATGTGTAATTTTATATATATAAAAAGTCATATCTATAATTTTACACATAAAAGTTTTTTATATATAATTATATATATATAAAACACAATTAACTATTAAATTT